GAGAGAGAGACAGAGAGCCCATGGTATATAAGGCTCTTCCACCCATCCTAGAGTTCATTATTTAGTTTCGAGTTGAGTGCTTCATCCGGTCCCTGCTGCGGTGCTCGGGAGAGCGAGAGAGAGAGAGAGAGTGAGAGAGAGAGAGAGAGAGAGAGAGAGAGAGAGAGAGAGAGAGAGAGAGAGAGAGAGAGAGAGAGAGAAGAGAGAGCGAGAGAGCGAGAGAGAGAGAGAGAGAGAGAGAACAAGAGAGAGTGAGAGAGAGAGCAAGAGAGAGAGAGAGAGAGAGAGAGAGAGAGAGAGAGAGAGAGAGAGAGAGAGAGAGAGACAGAGAGCCCATGGTATATAAGGCTCTTCCACCCATCCTAGAGTTCATTATTTAGTTTCGAGTTGAGTGCTTCATCCGGTCCCTGCTGCGGCGCTCGCGAGAGCGAGAGAGAGAGAGAGAGAGCGAGAGAGAGAGAGAGAGAGAGAGAGAGAGAGAGAGAGAGAGAGAGAGAGAGAGAGAGAGAGAGAGAGAGAGAGAGAGAGAGAGAGAGAGAGAGAGAGACAGAGAGCCCATGGTATATAAGGCTCTTCCACCCATCCTAGAGTTCATTATTTAGTTTCGAGTTGAGTGCTTCATCTGGTCCCTGCTGCGGCGCTCTCCAGAGCGAGAGAGAGAGAGAGAGCAAGAGAGAGAGAGAGAGAGAGAGAGAGAGAGAGAGAGAGAGAGAGAGAGAGAGAGAGAGAGAGAGAGAGAGAGAGAGAGAGAGAGAGACAGAGACAAAGAGCCCATGGTATATAAGGCTCTTCCACCCACCCTAGAGTTCCTTATTTAGTTTCGAGTTGAGTTCTTCATCCGGTCCCTGCTGCGGCGCTCGCGCCGGCGGCCTTCGGCCGCTGTCGCTCGCGGCACGGCCTCCGGCCGCGCTGGAGGGCAGAGAAGGGGCGGGGACAGGGATCCAGTCCAAAACCAGGGACATTACAGCATACAAGCATGCCTCCACAGGGGGCTACAACCTAGCAAAAGCCTATGGCTACGGCGCCACCCACAGCGCATGATGGCGGGGACCTGGCCTACACGCCAGACAACCGCCCACCTACTACACCTCCAAAGCCGACGGCGGGACAAGGGCCCTGGCCCGACTCTCCAAAGCCCGAAGCACCGCCGCGCAAGCGGCCAAGATCGCCGGGCGCTGATTCACCACGAGCGACCGATTCAACTCATCAACGGCGCGAGGAGCAGCCCGCCTCTGCTCCTGGCGGCAACCCATATGCCAGCCGCTAGAGGAGTAGCGATGCGGCCTCCATCGCGCGTCGCTGCTGGCGGCGAGACATCGCGGGCCGCCATGACCGACCGGCCTCAGGTTTCCGTGGAGGCGCCTGCAGCGGCGGAGGGCGCAGACAATCCAACACCTCCGCCACCGCGTCAATACAGGCGACGACGCCGGCCATCGCCTCAACTGGCGAGAACGCGTGCGGCGACGCCAGACGGACAGGCGGACGAGGAAGCGGCGGCAGATCGCCGAGCACATCCACTGGTGTCGGCGGCATACCCCGCCCCACCCGCAAACCCGACCCCTGAGGACGACCGGAGAGAGGCGGAGAGCGGTCCCTTCGTCTTCCGGGCACTACGGTCGGAGGTGACCCTGCCAGAGAGCCCGTCACCCCGCCCCCGCGGGGACGCTTCATCGGACGAAACGGCGGGGGCGGAGACCCCGCGGACACGCCCTGACCCCGCCGCGCCTTCTCGCCCCGCCGCGCCTGCCTGGCCCTGCCGCACTGCCTGGCCCCGCCGCGCCTGCCTGGCCCTGCCGCGCCTCCTGGCCCCGCCGCCCTTGACTGGCCCGCCGCTCCTGCCTGGCCCTGCCGCGCCTACCTGGCCCAGCCGCACCTGCCTGGCCCCGCTTCTGGCCCCGCCGTGCCTCCTGGCCCCGCCACCCCTGACTGGCCCGCCGCGCCTGCCTGGCCCCGCCGCACCTGCCTGGCCCCGCCGCGCCTGCCTGGCCCCGCCGCGCCTTCTGGCCCCGCCGCGCCTGCCTGGCCCCGCCGCACTGCCTGGCCCCGCCGCGCCTGCCTGGCCCTGCTGCGCCTCCTGGCCCCGCCGCCCCTGACTGGCCCGCCGCGCCTGCCTGGCCCTGCCGCGCCTACCTGGCCCCGCCGCACCTGCCTGGCCCCACCGCGCCTTCTGGCCCCGCCGTGCCTCCTGGCCCCGCCGCCCCTGACTGGCCCGCCGTGCCTGCCTGGCCCTGCCGCGCCTGCCTGGCCCCACCGTACCTACCTGGCCCCTTTCGCCCCGGCTCGTCCTGCTGTGCCGCCTCGGGCTCCGTCTCCTCCGCTCGCCCGTGCTGAGGCGCTTCGTGGCCACTGTGCTGGAGGGGGCTAAAGCTGTGTTCCTGTGGAGCTGTGCCGCTGACCCTGCACGATGCAGACTTCGTGCTCCGACTGGACGCTGAGGGCCATGCGGTTGACTTCGCCGCTTGGGTCACCCTGCTCTCCCTCGTCTGCGTCACATGGCCCAGCACGACCTTGTCTTAGGTCTCCCTGTGTCGCTCCCCGCCCTTCCTCCCTCGACTGCGCCACCATGCACGCCTTGCGTCGAGGGCCGGCTTCGCCGTGCCCCTCACTCCTCCTTGCTGCGCCCGGCTACTGCCCGCCTTCAGAACCTGCACCTGGACGTTTGGGGCCCTGCCCCCGTCCCCGGACCGCGCGGTGAGCGCTACTTCCTTGTGCTCGTGGACGACTACACGTGCTACACTACGGTGTTTCCCCTGGAGCGGAAGGCCGACGTGCCCGATGTTCTTCTCCCGTGGGTTGTGGCTGCGCGTCTCCACCGCGGTCTCCCCGTGTTGTGTCTCCACTCTGACCGTGGCGGCGAGTTCGCCTCTGGTCGGCGTGGACAGTTCTGTCGTGCGGAGGGCATCACCCAGTCATACACCTTGCCGGACTCGCCACAGCAGAATGGGGTTGCTGAGCGCCGCATCGGCTTGGTCATGGAGGTCGCCCGTGTAAGAAATAGAGTTGAAATGATTGATTAGGTAAGGAGCCCAAGGCTCTATAAGTACATGGCAAGGTGAGAGTGAATGGATGAAGGGGGAATTGGAGGGAATCCCCATTGGGATCTCCGAAATCTCCAATTGGGTAATTGGAGATTGTGGGGATCACAATTGGGTGAGGTTGGGATTTTTGAGTACACCCCAACCCACTAGAACATTCACAACCTAAACTAGGATATAAAAGTACAAATACAAAAGTGGTATTTGCAGTCTATTTCTAACACACCCCCATAGACTGCAAACCCGATCAAGGAGCACATAGCCCCATGGAACGGAGAAGGCGATGGTGGTCAGCCTTGCCGAGAGCCTTGGTAAAGAGGTCGGCGAGGTTGCAATCTGAGGCGATGTACCGTACCGTCAGCTGGTCACTCTGAACAAGATCTCGGATGAAGAAATGACGAAGTTCGATGTGCTTGGTGCGAGAGTGGAACACAGAATCCTTGGTGAGGTGAATGGCACTCTGGTTGTCACACCACAGGGTGGGCGACTGCTGGGGGTAGCCTAACTCAGCGAGGAGAAAGGAGAGCCAGCGTGCCTCTTGAGCAGCCATTGTGCCCGCGTAGAGCTCGGCCTCGCAGGACGATAGGGAGACTGCAGAGGACCGAGTGGAGCGCCAGCTGATGACTCCGCTACCAAGGGTGAAGCAGTACCCTTGGGAGGAGCGTCTGTCAGTCTGGTCATCGGCCCATGAGGAGTCTGTGTATCTCTCGAGCTTGACTGGAGAGGTACCACCAAGAGTGAGGATGTGAGACTTGGTGGCTTGTAGATAGCGGAGGACCCTCTTGGCTGCAGACCAATGCGAGGCAGTGTAGCATCCGGGGGAGACGTACCGAGAGAGGACACTAACCGGGTAAGCCAAGTCTGGTCGAGTGCACATCATGGCATACATGAGTGAACCGACTAGCTCAGGGTACGGGCCCTTGCAGGCGTCAGGAGAAGGAACTGGAGGGGCCGTGAGCTGATGCTGTAGTGGGAGTGGAGTGGAGACAGAGTTACTGGAGTCCATGTCGAACCGCTTGAGAAGGTTGTCGATGTAGGACTCCTGGGAGAGGGTGATCGTGCAAGCCTGGCGCTCACGAGTGATCTCCATTCCCAGGTAGTTCTTGAGGTCACCAAGATCCTTCATGAGAAGGGCGGAGCTGAGAGCAGACTGGACAGCTGTCATGTCGGCTGGATCTCTGGCGGCTAGAATGAAGTCGTCGACGTAGACGAGGATGTAGAAGGGCTCGGAGGAGTGACGAACGAAGAGACTGGAATCTGAGGCAGAGGGATGGAAGTCAAGTGCGAGGAGGACTTCCTTCACCTTGTTGTGCCACTCACGAGGAGCCTGCTTGAGGCCATACACTGGGCGCTTCAGCTTCCACACTGTGTTGGCAGGGTAAGTGCCAGGAAACCCCGGTGGGCGTTCCATGTGAACATCCTCCTTGAGCTGGCCTTGAAGAAAGGCGGAGGAGGCGTCCATGGACTTGATCTCAAAGTTGCCGCGAGCGGCTATATCAAGAAGAGCGCGCACAGTCGGGAGCTTGGCCGTGGGTGAGAATGTTTCGAAGAAGTCGAGATACTCCTTCTGGGTGAAACCCTTTGCCACGTATCGTGCCTTGAACAGTGGAGCTTCGCCTGGGAGTTGTTTGACTTGGAAGATCCATTTTCCGCCGACGATGTTGACACCGGAAGGAGGAACAACATCGTCAAAGCTGTTGTTGCGAATGAACGCCTCGTTCTCCACATCCATTGCTGCCTTCCACTCCTTCTTATAAGGCCCCGAAAGAGCTTCCTCTTTTGTGCGAGGAGTCGGAATGGTCGGGTTCTCGGTGAAGTTGAGGGAAGGGCAGTCAGTAATGTCCGGGAAGATGTGAGAGAGAAATTGGCAGACCGCGTGAAGGTCAAACAGCTCCTCATGCCTGTCCTCCAGAAGTGCACGGGGGGGAATACGGATGGAGGGGACATCACCCCCGGCAGGAGGAGGCGGGGTGACCGAACACCGGATGGAGAAGGCGGCTGGTCCCCAGGCGAGAGGCGGAGCCGGTCCCTTGGAACGAGTGCGACTAGAGACCGGAGACGAAGGCGGCTGCGGTGGGACCGGAGGGACTGGGCGCCTCCGATAGGAGACTGGTGAGCCGGGCTCGACGCACGGGGAAGGCGGAGCAGGAGGAGGTGCCGCTGCGGAGGATACTGGGGAGGCCGGGTGAGACACGCTGGACGGAGAAGGCCCCGGAGAAGGGGCAGCGGCCGGAGGTGGGGCATCGAAGTCTGCCCAAACAAGCGTCGGGGGAGGTGGAGGAGGCTCGCCCGTGGTCGCAGAGTGGAATGGGCGTGTCTCATCGAAGACGACATCACGGCTGCGAATCAGCTGTCTGGTGATTGGGTCGAGGAATAAGTAGTCTGGGGAGTCGGAGTTGTGCCCCAGGTACATGTAGGTCTGGGTTTTGGGACCAAGCTTGCCACCTTGCTTCCTGCGCGTGTGGGGGCTTAGCAACACATACGCGGTACACCCCCAGACGCGTAGAGAGCGGGCGGAAGGCGTAACCCCAAGCCAGAGAGCGGTAGGTGTGGTGTCGGGCCGGTGGGGATGCGGATAAAGATTGTAGAGGAGTGCCGCATGGAAGAGGGCATATCCCCAGAGTGACCGTGGTGCGTTGGTGTGACTGAGGAGGCAGCGAGCGATCTGAACCAAGGTGTGGTTGCGGCTCTCTGCAATGCCGTTCTGCTGCGGGCTTTCGGGGAGCGTGAAGGTTTGCCGAATCCCTTGGGCCGCACAGAAGTTATCGAGTTTGCCATTGCGAAATTCTCCCCTGCCATCAGAATGGAGGCACTTCAGAGGAGTGCCGAACGTGACTTGAGCCTGGCGCACCCACGCCATGATGACATCAGGTGCCTCCGCCTTGGTATGCAGGAGGTGCACAGAAACATACCGCGAGTGGTCATCGACTAGTGTAAGAAAGTACCGATGACCGCCTCGGGATGCGACTGGAGCTGGGCCCCAGACATCCATGTGCACTAGGTCCAGCGGAGCAGCTGCGACGGATGGGGAGGAAGGGTGCGGCTGCTGCCTGAGCTTGCTCTTGGTGCAGTCCAGGCAGGTGGGTGCAAGTGAGTCTGTTGGTGGAGGAAGCGCCGACGGGAGGCCAAGAAGAAGTATCTTGGAAGCGATGTCGGCAAGTGTACAGAAGTTGGGGTGACCCAAGCGATGGTGGTAGAGGATGGTTGGGTTGGCGAAGCTGCGACACAAACACGGAGTGGTGCTGGCAGCTTGCGCTTGGGAGAGGGCGGCGAGAGGTGCAGGTGAACGCAGCGTGTAGAGCTTGCTGCTGTTGAGTGTGAAGCGTGCTAGGAGCTTGTTGGACTTAGGGTCGAAGAGGTCACAGTGATCCGAGTGTGCTGGGAAGATCGTGGTGACGCCTGCCCGTTGGAGCTCGTGTTGGGCCACGAGATTGTGGCGTAGTGTGGGAACACACATGCGGGTGACACTGCCCGAAGGAAAAGCTGGGCACGGAACTGTGGAGGAGCCCTTGGCGTGTGTTGTGAAACTGGAGTCTGCTCCAAGTAGACGGATTGGTGTCTCGTATGGCTTGAAGGAGTGTTCTTCCTTGAGAACCGTGTGAGTGGCCCCACTGTCGAGGGTGAACTCTATTGTGGCTGAGGTGCTTTGTGAGCCAGGGTACTGCGAAATTGTCTCATTAATCATGGCAGTGCCAGGGAACAGCATGTTGAGGCGCACATCAGCAGGTGCAGCCACAGCAGCCTGCACGGATTCCTGCGCTTCGACTTGATTGACTTGGCGAGGAGCACGATTGACCATCCAGCTTGGCGGCTTGGAGGCGGTCCCATTGACGGCATACCACTCGTCATCCTTCTTCTTAAAGCAGGAGCCAAGGGCGTGGTTGGTGCCGCCACACACCTGGCCAGCACGAGGGCCGCGCTTGATGACGTAGGGACACGGGGGGAAGCGATTGTGCTGGAATGGCACCGAAGCGGCATAGGCTTGAGGCACGGGAGCGCGGATTGCATTGGCCTTGGCTTGAGCGCTGTTGTCCTTTTCGGCAGAAAGGAGCGCGGATGAGACCTTGGCAAATGTGAGGTCTGTAGGTGCAAGGCCCAAGAGCATCTTGCGTGTGACTTCGTATGCCGGAGTGAGGCCGACTAGGAGAGCGGCTGCAGGGGCTTGCTCGGGGAAGACTATCCCCAACTGTTTGAGTTCACCATGAATGGACTGCACCTTGGTGACATAGTCCGCCATGCCTGGCGAGTCCTCGAGCCGCACTTGGAACATGCTGGGGATGAGTATAGCAACTCCCACTGCAGTCTTGTTCAAGAAGCGATCCTCGAGGTAGAGCCAAATGGCGTTGGCAGACGGGTAGTTGTGATAGGTTTCGACGAGTTCGGGAGGAGTGGTGCCCATGAAGACACTAATGACCGCACCATCGGCCTTCTCCCAATTCTTGTACTTGAGCAGTGCAGCAGCATAAACTGCTTCGGCGGCGGCATTAGCTGGATCGGCGGACCTCTCGGGTTTAGGAGGCTCTTTGCCGTCACCGATGTTGAGAAGGACGTCGGTGAGCTCGAGCCCCTTCACCTCGCGACTGAGGAGGTGCTTGTTGACACCATAGCGCCAAGCCTTGTAGTTGGAGCATGTACCGTCCGGCTCGAGACGAAGGAGCGGGATCGGGTTGGCGAGTGAAGTGGTTGAGTAAGCCATTGTCGGTGTGCAGCGCGGCACTTCTGGAAATTGGTCGACGAGAATTGCTGAAAATCACTCTGACGGCTGTATCAAAATGCCGCTAAGTAGGAAATGGCGTCGGCGAAAATTCGTTAAAACGCCGACTTGAAACTGAATCTGAGCCTATGTCTAACCCCGGACCCACACACCCCCCCACACACCCCCAGGCCCTGTCCCGCAGCTACACAGCTCCGCAACCAGCTCCGCAACCAGCTCCGCAACCAGCTCCGCTCCGCTTCAACCTGTGTACCTGCTCTTGATTTGACGCGAGACGTTCGTGGAGGCGATTTCGCGAGGGGAGTTCGCCAATTCTGGCGGGGTCTGAGGGGAAACTCGAGAACGAGTTTTAAGAGATGGTCGAAATTGAGATTCGACCAAGGAGAACCGAGGAGGAAATCGACGATGAGAAGCGTGAAAGCTTCAGAGATGAGAAATTCAACGAGGTCGAGTGCGAAGGTGGTCGACAATGAGAGGCGCGACTGTAGTGTGGAGCACGTCGAAATTCCGACGACTCGAAACGAATGTTGCGACGATGAAGTGCGCGTAGCGCGGGCACATTGAGATTAGGACCTTGATCCGCGGGTGCGGATAGGTCGCTCTGATACCATGTAAGAAATAGAGTTGAAATGATTGATTAGGTAAGGAGCTCAAGGCTCTATAAGTACATGGCAAGGTGAGAGTGAATGGATGAAGGGGGAATTAGAGGAAATCCCCATTGGGATCTCCGGAATCTCCAATTGGGTAATTGGAGATTGGAGGGATCACAATTGGGTGAGGTTGGGATTTGTGAGTACACCCCAACCCACTAGAACATTCATAACCTAAACAAGGATATAAAAGTACAAATACAAAAGTGGTATTTGCAGTCTATTTCTAACAGCCCGCACCTCCATGATCCATGTCGATGCCCCCCATTTTCTGTGGCCGTTCGCTGTTCGCTACGCTGCTCACCAGCTTAACCTGTGGCCACGCTCCCAGCGGCCGCAGGTTTCGCCGACCCTTCTTTGGACCGGGTCCGCCGGTGACGCGTCTGCGTTCCATGTCTGGGGCTGCCTTGCTCACGTTCGTGCTGTTAGAATATACCATGCTATGCTAGTTGTGTATATTGTGTTTACATCCCTAGTTGGGTGTACACCTGTGTTGGGGTGTCAATCCAACCCAATTGTGGTTGGAGCCCCCAAACACAAGGACCACAATTGTGGGGGCACCACAAGTGGGTTGGCTAAACCACTGGTGGTACACCACACTTGGACCACCTCCAACTGGTGGTCAACCACATTTGGAAGGATCCTCCCTCCTTTGTGATTGGTCCTCACCCCCCCTTCCCTTCCAACCTTCCCTTCCTAGCTCATCTCTCTCTTCCTATGTAATGCCTTTGCTTCATCAATAAACTGAACCTTTCTGTTTCTAACATGGTATAGAGCAATAATGGCTCACGCCAACTTTTAAATCCCGATCCTTCCCCACGCTTCCGCCCCGTCCCCTTCCGACGTGCACCTCATTGCCGTCCCCTCCATCGCCGCTGCTAGACTCCTAGCCGCCGCCTCTCAACTAGTTTTCTGTTGGGTGGATTTTCAAAAACCCCCAATGCGCCAAACGCCATAGCTCGCTCGATAGTTGACAGAATTGAGTGATTCGACTTGCAAAAGAACGCTCTTGGTGTCAGCTACAACGTCGGAAAATTTCAGACTGTTTCATCGCTTGAATTGTCAGATATCGCTTTCCGAAGTTTGCACACTTTCCTGGATGTGATCACGAAGTGCTACTGAAATTTCTACCAAGTCCTATTTTCATCAGCTAACTGCCATCTTTCCCCATCTTTTGCCTCCTCACCTGCACCTGCTCATCGCCGCCTTACCACTGCTGCAGCCGTAGCAGCAGCAGCAGAAGCAGCAGCAGCACCAGAAGGAGCAGCAGCAACAGCAACAGCAGCAGCAGCAGCAGCAGAAGGAGCAGCAGCAGCAGCAGCAGCAGCAGCAGCAGCAGCTGCAGCAGCAGCAGTATCTACAGCCATCCCCATCCTCCCCTCCTCTTTGAGCCGCCGCGGGTCCACCCGCCGCCGCTCCCTCCCGGCCACCGCGGGTCCACCCGCCGTCGCCTTCCTCCCACTCTGTGTCACCAATGGCATCCTTTCCCCCTCCCGTCGACGTCTCGACCCTCGATCATCTCGTGCGCGCTGCCGACAACTCAGCAACCAAGTGGTATTCCTTCGTCGGCAGCCTCCACCGCGTCCTCGGCAGTGCTTATGTCCTGCCGTTCCGCCTCCTGGACATCATGCTTGGTCTCCCAGAGGGTGACCTTGGGGACCCGCCGCCTCACCCTGGCGATCCCCCCCCCCTCATTCCCCATCCCGGCGAGGAACCTCCGCCCCCCATGGTACCCGTTGGCACCAGCACTCGCGCTGCCACCGCTGAAGTTGAGCAGCTCTTCCTTACTCAGCGTCGTGAGTTCCTCGTGCTCCATACTGATTACCTGATCGCGTTGGAGGAACACGAGCGGTCGGCAACCCTCCGCACCCAGCATGCCGCTACCGCCGCCGCTTATGCCGCTGACTCTGCGCGATTTGCTGAGCGTCGTCGCGCCTGGCTCGAGGTAGACAGCCGTGCTACTGGTGCCCTTCTCCTTGCCATCCCGTCTGCGCTCATGCGCAACTTCCAGGCACGTCGCATCGGCTCCCGCCAGATCTGGCTCGAGCTTGAGGCAATATTCGAACGCACCGACTTCGATGCTGTCGGACCGCTCTTCAAGGAATACTTCAGCATCACGATCGAACATAGTGCTGGCGCCGTCGACTACACCAGCCGTCTCCTGGACCTTGCCTCCCGCCTTGAGGCTCGCCAGACTACTCTCCCCCCCAACCTTCAGATCTACCGTCTCCTCGAAGGCCTCTCCCCTCAATATGAAGTGCGCGTCATCGCCTTCACTGAGGCTCAGCCCCGCGCCTCCCTTGACACTGTGGTCCAATGGATCATTGACGCTGAGGCCCGCCTTCTCTCAACCCCCCCTCCGGCCTGAACTCCACCGAGTCCCAAAACCCCCAGCTTGCAGTCACACAGCCGCGTCGTGGCGGGCGCCCACGTGGCGGCCGCACCAACCCTCAGGGAGGGGGTGGAGGTGGCGGTTGTGGGGGCAGCAGAGCCGGCGGCGGTGGTGGCGGGGTCGAGGGTGGCAGCAGTGGTGGTGGTGGAGGCAGTGGTGGCTCATCTGGTAGCCGTGGTGGCCGCCCTGGCACTCTCCCCCCATGTTCCTATCTTCGCCGTTTTGGTCCCAGGGCGGGTGAGCGCTGCACCCAAACCAACCATCCCCCCGCGACCTGCTTCAAGGCGTATGATGACGCCTGGTTCGAGCGCGGCAACACTGGCACACCCCCACGCTGGTCTGCCATGGATTCCCGCCCCTCTCTCCAGGATGTCAAAACTCTTCCGTCTTTCCTCCCCTCTCATCTTCAGCTCTCCTCCTCCTCCTCCTCCTCTGTCGCTGACCCCATAACTCCCCAGGAGCTGCAGCAGTTTCGCCGCACGAACCTGTTGTAATAATTAGCGAAGCCTAGGAACTGCTGCAACTCCTTCACATTCTCGGGTGTCTTCCACATGCGTACGGCTTCGATCTTCTTGGGGTCGACGTGAACTCCTTGAGCGCTCACCATGTGTCCGAGGAATTGGACTTTCTCGAGGGCGAAGTTGCTCTTGGATAGTTTGACGTAGAAGCGTTCTCGTCGAAGAATGTCGAAGACGCGTCGCAAGTGTTGGATGTGCTATTGCATGTCGCACGAGTAAATGGGGATGTCGTCAAGGTACACCACCATGCATTCGTCCAAGAGTGGTCATAGTATGTGGTTTATTTCGGCTTGGAATGTTGCCGGTGCGTTGGTGAGTCCGAACGGCATTACCAGATACTCGTACGACCCGTACCGAGTTCGGAAGGCTGTTTTGTGGATGGAATTGTCCGCCATTTGTATCTGCCAATAGTTTGGAAAAAACCGTAGCTCCCAAAGCTGGTCAAGCACGTCATCGATTCTTGGAATTGGGTATCTGTTTTTTATGGTCTGCTTGTTGAGAGCTCGGTAATCGATGCACATGCGTAGGCTTTCGTCCAGTTTTGGTGTGGAGTACTGGGGCACCATATGGCGAAGTGGACGGTCGGATAAGTCCTTTGGCAAGGAGATACTCGATCTGCTTCTTCATGTCGGCTAGCTCTGTAGGGCTGAGTCGATATGGTGCTCGGAAGGTCGGCTTCGAACCGGGTTCTTCCACGATCTCGTGTTGTTGCGTTCGGTATGGCGGCAGCTCTTTTGGAAGGTCGTCGGGAAGAATGTCTTGGAACTCCTTAAGTATTTCCTTGATTTTTTCTGGAGGTTTCCAGGCTTTCTTTCCGTCGTTCTCCACCTCTGTCGCTATCGTCAGGAATCCAATGTCGGTTCGCTTAACGTCCTTCTCGAATCTTGCGAGTGTCTCCTCTGGGATATCTCCTATGTCGTCCCAGTTGGGTAGCTGGACTCTCCTTCTGCGAGACTACGACCCCGTTCCATTCCTTTCTCCTTTCCATCTTCCCTTTTCATTTCATTTCTCTTTTATCCTGATTCATTTGGTCTTTATCTCATTCCATTTGGATTACTCTTCCTCTCCCATAAACCTTTGGGTTATCCTGTTATTATTATTATATCACCGACCAGGCTCGCGATGTACTGGCGCACTATATCTAGCGTAATCCTGCCGTAATCCCTTAAAGCTAATAGCCTCGCATGGCTATACGCAGGGTGATTCTATTTTCTAGAAGGGTCTATTCCCTTTGGATAGAATAGACCTGGTTACCTGATGTACTCTGGAAGTATAAAAGCGCATTGTATCAATCGATAGTGCAACTTTTCCTCGACACATTCAATCCTGTGACACTTGGTAATCAGAGCTAATCTCACTCGGCCATATGTTGGTTGGAGAAGGCTATAAGTAGATGATTCAATGGCTCCTTGGAAATTTCTGCAGCACTTCGTTATGACGCCCAGAAAACTTGCGACCTTCGAAAAGCTATATCCAGAACTCCAATCGGTGAAACGATATGAAAATCAGATATGTTGGAGCTTGTAGCGTCAGCTTTCCAATGAAAGTTGAATCACTCCATTCCGTAGCTTAACGAGCGAGCTATGGCGTTTGGCGCATTGGGGGGTAATCTGCCCTAGGAGAAGTTGACAGTCCTCAGAGTCACTATAATTGAAGCTTACAAGTTCAAAGGCATGATGGAAAAGGCATTGAAGCACAGTTGGAAGGTGGGGATGGAAGGGAAGGCTGAAAGGGAAGGACCCTGGAGGCCCATGGTCAAGAACATGACAAGAGTCAAAGTCTTGACTCCCCATCCTCAGGTTCAGCCAGCCTGGCAAGACAAAATTCACACTGTGCCAGGTTGGCCTCCAACCCCCAAATGCTGCAGCTGCAAGGTGAGGACAAAAGTCCCACACATGCTGGTCCCTCCTCGTTATAGGGCTCTCCAACTTTGGTGTAGCAGCTGACAAGGACTTCCAATGAGTAGTAACAAATCCATCAAACACTTCTTCGTAACTTCTTCATATCTGCTCCGATTCCAACAATTCTTGGCTCGTTGAAATGTGCTCGATGTCATGCACAATCCAAGCACATCTGCACAAGCACAAGATGAACATGCAAAGACATGCAAACCCAACAAACCACACAAACAACATAGCATACAAAACACATGCAACAAAATGATGCGAACCGACGACAGGATGACGTGCAAACGAATATGCACCAACACACTCCCCCTCAGACTGTCGGCTTGTTTTGCCGTCTCTAGTTCAAGGACATTCCCGCCATCCTCGCACAGCGCCAGTGTGGCTCTTCAGCTAACCGCTTGGTAAGGAAGTCGGCTGGCTGTTGCTGAGTTTTCACGTAGATCGGATCCAGTGTCCCAAGCTTCACCTCCTTCCGCAGCCAATGCCACTTGATCCTCATGTGCTTGTTCAACCCTTGAAGAACTGCGTTGCGTGCCATGGCAATGGCTCCCTTGCTGTCACTGAACAGAGGTGTCGCACAAGTCTGTTCATGGCCGATCTCCTTCAAGAGCCTCCTTAGCCAGATGATTTCTTTTGCCACATGAAACATCGCCATGTACTCAGATTCCACTGAAGATAGTGCCGTCTCAGACTGCTTCTTGGACCTCCAACTTACAGGCCCACCTCCCACCATGCAGATGTATCCGCCTACTGATGATGAATCCTCATGCTCAGAAGCCCATGTGGCATCAGCAAAACAGGAAAGGAACACCTTTCCTTCTCCGAGCTGCTCCCCCTTCTCTTTGAGGACTTCAACTCCCTTTTGCCTGAGTTGAGCACAGGCTGAATACTGTACTCCCACTGTAGGGTATGACTTGAGGTAGCGCACCACTCTCTCCGCTGCACCATACTGCTCTTCTGTTGGATTTTGCACTACTCGAGCCAGCTGTCCCACAGCAAAGCTGATGTCAGGCCGAGTATGCACAGCAGCGTAGAGTAGGCTCCCGACCATGGATTGGAATTGCCTCTGGTCTTCACTCTCAACTCCTTCTCCTTCAGCTGCCTTTATGAGTTTGAACTCGGAAGGCAAAGGTGTGACCACTTCCCGTTCTTCCTGCAGAGAGTACTTCTCAGCCAAGGTGTTGATGTACTGTCCCTGATGCAGTTTGAGCCAGCCACGTTCAGTATCCCGCTCAATGTGCATTCCCAGGTAGTACCTTGCCTCTCCAAGTGACTTGCACTTGAACTGCTCTGTGAGCTTCCGCTGCACCCCATCGATCTCCTTGTCACTGCTGCTGAAGAGCAGGATGTCATCCACGTACACCAGCAGAAGCACAAGTGACTCCCCCTCTCCCATCAGGAATAGGCTCTCGTCGCATGCACTCGCACGGAATCCAATCCCTTCCAGTGCACTGGCCAGCCTGTTGTACCAGCATCTCGGGGCCTGCTTCAAGCCATAGATGGCCTTGTTAAGTTTGCAGACACGACCGGTTCCATCCTCATAGCCAGGTGGTTGAACCATGTACACCTCCTCTTCCACAATGCCGTACAGAAAAGCGGTTACGATGTCCATCTGCTTCACCTTCCATTTGCGCACAGCAGCTACCGCCAGCAGCACACGTAGCGTTGGAGACTTAGCAGTTGGGGCAAACACTTCTTTGTAATCTTCCTTCTCTTTCTGCTGAAACCCCTTTGCCACCAGCCTGCTCTTGTAAACTGATGGCTCTCCTTTCTCATCCGTCTTGATTTTTGCCAGACACTTGCACTGTATTGCCTTCTTCCCATTTGGCAAGTACACCAGGTCCCATGTGTGATTCTCCATCTGGCTGTTGTACTCTGCATCTCTTGAAACGAGCCACTTCCCCCGTTGAGGCCCGGCTAGCGCATGATCCATGCTCGGAGGTTGTATTGGTGCGTAAAAGCAGTATGCAGGCTCCTCGTCATCTGACTCTTGGTCATCACCCAAGAACAGCACTGCATCTTCGCCTTGAGCCTGTTCCTGCTGCTCAGTTGTGGCTCCTCCATTTGTGGAGCTCAGCAGCTTTCTCGTTGCCATTCTGGTACGTGCAGGGTAGATGGTTGGATTTACCCATTCTTTCACCTTCACCCAATCCTTTGTCCCCCCACCAATCTGTTTCCTTCGCTTTGGCAGACTTGGTGTTTTGGAAGCCTCTTGCTGCTGCTGCTCCGGATCCTTGACTTCAGCATCAGCTGCAATATCCTCATTGCTTCCTTCATCAGTACCGCTTGCCGTTGGCGCAGTGACTTCGCTGTCCTCAGGTTCGGACACATCGAAGTGCATAGTGATCTCTTCCAGCTGCTGAGTGACCCTTGCCTCCGGCTGCTTCTCCCACTTGCCATACATGATGTTCTCCACAAATTTGACATCCCGACTGTCAAACAGCACATTCTTTGAGGGCTCCCAGAGTAGCCACCCCTTGCTCTCTGCCGCAAGCCCAAGGTGCACACACCACAGTGCAGATGCTCCAAGCTTTGTCCTGTACGGTTTAGGGACATGCGCCACTGCCATGCATCCGAACACTCGAAGCATGTCCACTGGAGGCTTCTTTCCAAGCCACCTCTCCAGCGGCACCCACATATCATCAGCCACCTTTGTGAGTACGCGGTTCCTTGCCACTGTAGCATGCCTCACCGCATGAGGCCACATGGAGTTCCCCAGCCCTGATTCGATCAGCAGCGCTCGCGCAGTTTCCAGGATGGTCCTATTAGCCCTCTCAGCAACGCCATTTGACTGAGGGGTATAGGACGTTGTTAGCTGATGCTCAATGCCTTGTTTCTTGAGCCACGCAGTCAGATCTCCTCCTAGAAACTCTCCACCTCGGTCGGTTCTGATGCTCTTGCATGGGTGCCCAGATTGTCGCTCGACGAACGGCAGCCAGTCATCTCGTATTGTTGAGGCAGCATGATCCTTCTGCTTCAACGGGTATGCCCACATCAGCCGATTCCAGTCATCAACTATTGTTAGGAAGTACCTTTCCCCCTTTCTTCCTTGAACTGGAAAAGGTCCTACCAGGTCCATGTGCACCAGTTCCAGTGCTGCCTTGCTTTTCCCAGCTACGCCGTGAAAGGGGAACCGTGTGAACTTGCTCAGCAGACACGTCTCGCACTTGGTATCATTTGGTTGCCCAGAAAGCTTCAGCCCCTTGACCGTCCCAGACTGGCGAGCTCCATCCGACGGTTGCAAAGTAGATCTCCATGCCGGCGATCCATCTGTGGGCGTCGGTATTTCGATCGCTCGGATCGAACGACTCAGGCGGGCGCGGCTTCGGAGCCTCCAGAAACTGCTGCGACTGCTGCGTCATCGCTGTTGTCATTTCGTGCTGCGCACCGGCGAGTCGAGTTACTCGCTCGAACTCATTTCGCCAAGCTTCGCGGTCGGCTCGCATCTCCTCCTGTAGGGCGGCGATGCTCGCAAAGAGCTGCTGGGTAACCTCGACGTTGTCGAAGTTCGCCATCCTGTTCAAAACACGCATGGGGGGGGGGGTGGATTCGAAAAACATGGAGCTAGTGCTTACCAGAATCGGCGCCGCATTAGTCGCCCCCGGCGGTTTTTTTAGGCAGGTGTTCCCGCTGTTTCTGCTTAGCTGAGCGCGGCCGAGTGAGAAAAGCTCTGATGACCAAGTGTTACAGGATCGAATGCGTCGAGGAAAAGTTGCACTAACGATTGATACAAGGCGCTTTTACACTTCCATAGTACATCTGATAACCAGGTTTATCCTCTCAAAAGAAATAGACCCTTCTAGAAGTATAATCACCCGACGTATAGCCACGCGAGGCTATTGGCTTTAAGGGATTACGGCAGGATTACCTAGATATAGTGCGCCAGTACATCCGGAGCCTGGTCGGTGATATAATAAAAATAACAGGATAAACCAAAGGATAATGGAAAAGGAAACCAAATGAGATGAGATAAAGACCAAATGAATCAGAAGTGAGAGAGGAATGAAATAGAAAGGAAACATGGAAAGAGAAGAAGTGTAACGGGGTCGTAGTCTCACAGATTGCCCTTGGTCCTTGGGGAAGGGTCACAAGTGCAGAGCCTGGGGGTTATGGGGCTCATCCCCACGATTTGTTTTTGGGTACCCTGATTGCTCAGTGTTAGGTTCATAAAAAAATCTTTTCGTCAGCCTCCTCAAGAAAATTTACGCTGATTTATCAGTGTTGCCAAGCAAAAGTTCGCGTTTCCATCAGGGGCTTGTAAAAAAAAAAACGCTGATTTGGCAACAGGGAGAGAGGATTTTACATTTTTTGAGTTGCATTCGAATAAGAGTAAATTCTGCATTCTAATAACAATCGTTCTTATTAGGGGAAATTCTCGTCAGCTGCCTGTCAGGTCAACTGAAAGTCTATCAAAATGTGACGGTCACTATGGATTATGATCGTTTTGATATTTTTCAACCATTCGATGGTCGCAAGCGATTAACGCCCAAGGGCGCGAAGGGCACCAAGGGGGCGAGGGCGCGGAGTTTCTCCCACCACCCAATTCCACAGCTTCTCCCCTCCCCTCCATTTCGAAAACCCCCCCCCCCCCCCCACCCCCCACCCCTCCGCCTCCATTTCGATTCCCCTCCCCTCCCCCCATTCCCCTCCGTTTCGCTTCCCCCCTCCCCTCGGTTTTGATTCCCTCCCCCTTTCCCCCTCGGTTTTGATTCCCCCTCCCCTCCTTTTTGATTTCCTCCCTCTCAATTGAGCTGTGGGCAGGGTGATTTTTTAGAGCTAGTTTCACATTGTCTGAGAAATCATGCCAGCCAGATATAGCGAAGACCCTACCTACTGCTCCCCGTTCTCCCAGCAATGAAATCGTCACTGCAGGAGAAGATGTGGCAATTTGGATGTGCCTACGCCTATTATTAGACAACCCTGATCGTGTTCTGTGCACCCTGAGAATTCCAGGATTTCCAATTTCTCACCATTGACAAATCTATGTAGTCGAATATTGAAAACATAGCCCTCAGGGTGAAAAAAAAATATGTAGCCGATGGCTCAGGGGGGCTTTCTTTGAAACCTCAGGCTAGGAATGATTTTCTCGTTACCCCTTTTTAGGAACTTCGCAAAATTCGGGTTAAGCAGGGTTGTGGGTTGGGGGGTTTTGTGGAAGGTTTTTTATGGCTGCAAGGGACTTAGCCGATTTTTATGGGTTGCGGGAGCAGTGAGAGGGATGTTTCTCGCTGTGGGGACTTAGGCAAAAATTTTGGGTTGCGGGAGGTGAGGGAGGAATGTGTCTGGCTGTGGGGACTTAGTCGAGTTTCTGGGGCTGCGAGGGGTGTAGGGGAGAAATATCAATGGGTTGGAGGACTTAGCAAAAAGAAGATTGTTTCGACCTGGTGGGGGTGGGGGTTGGGGGGGAGGAGATCATGCGCCAACCATGTCTCGCCAGTGTTTGTTTCAGTGTCGATCCTCGTAAGTGTGCTGAGGCATCAGTGTCTACGTGAAAAAAACGTTGAAACATGAGTCCCATACGTTAAAAAAACATTTTTTCGACTGGGTTCAATAATAAAAAAGGGATTTTTCATTAGGGTTGGTACAAGCAAACACCATGAAAAAAAAAAAACGTAAAAAGCGTAAAAATCCTGATATCGTGGGGCATGGGCGCACTTACCCGTTATTAAACAAGCCCTTTAACTCAGTGGTTAGTGACTAAATTCTGACATGGTATCAAAGCCAAAGGTCTCAGGTTCAATTCCCAATGCGCACCGGAGAGGTAATAGCGCTGCAAAGGCGCTTGTGTATTCCGCCTATCCCAGCAAGGGGGGCTGTCAAGATACACGCTGGGGTTGCCCTTGGTCCTCGGGGAAGGGTCACAGCAGGCCCCTAGATATCAACATTTTTACGCAAATTCAGCCTTTTTTTTGTACCTACGCTGAAATCTAAGATTTTTTTATACAAGTAAGGCTGAAAAATTCAGCCTTTTCTTTACAATGATGTCTGATGATTTCAGCATTTTTGGTGGGGTTTTAGCGAAGCCTCTGGAGGGGAGTCTGAAACCGAGTACAGCGAGATTTGCGCCCCCTCGGTGATTACCGCGTCGAGTCACACATACCCCCAAAAGAAAATTTTGAAGTCCAAGAAAACAAATCACACCCCCCTCATACCCTCGGTAACCCAAAGTATTTTGTCTAGGTCGTCGAAAACCAGCCACACCCCTCATACCCTCGGCAACAAAGACTTTGTTGGAAGTCCTCGAAAATCAGTCAGACCCCACTCATACCTTCGGCAACCTGTAATATTTTTTTGAAGTCATCGGAAACCAGACACTCACACCCGTCTCGTAACCCTCGCAACCCAGGAGAATTAGTCCAAGTCCTTTTATCCCCCGCAACCAGTAACACCCCCCAAACTCGCCCCCCCACCCCCCCCCCCCCCCCCCTCCCCCAGCCCTCCTCCCGGCGTCTGTAGAAATGACATGTCATTTTACCAAGGTCATGCGATTCGATGTGACACCCAACAACATTGTTTGTAGCATGTCCCCTAAAGACCAATCAAACTCATCGAACCAAAAGTTAACCAAAATCATCGCTACGACCTAGTTGAGCATCTGTTCTCTCCCTGCCAGCCAAATATCTCCACACATGCACTGCTTGAGTTTCTTCGACAAACAGTTGTGCGCGGAATACCGAACTATGTTGGCCAATGAAAAGCCATCGCAAACTTTCGTGCACGCTATTCGATTTGACCCAGTAGCTACAGTGTTTGACCCTAAAACGTGGGCGCGCTATGGTTTGACACTGCTGAACTGACATGCCATTTCTATGGACGCCACCTCTGTTGGTGCAACACTATGGCTTGCACTCGGCTTGTCGTCCTTGTTTGTGTGTATGCATGCCATGGAATGAATTGTGAGTCTATGTCATTAATATCTAGTGCTTGTGTGTGTGTTTGAATGGTGTATCACAATGTGGTTTGTATCGATCAAGACATTAGCGAGTTTTCACAACTCGCATGTCAAGTCGTCGTTTGCGTGTCGCGTGTGTTTTTCTATTATGTCGAGTGTGAAGTGTCCATCGCATCGCAGGTGTGTGCAGCAAGCCCCCATCAACTCAATAGGAATTTATCTTGCAGAACCAAGACCAAGAGCTCAAGATTTCAAGCCCAAGGGACACGGATAAATATTAAATAGTGAAAATAGTAACGCTACTTCGTGTAGTGATACATTTCACTTGGTGTAGCTCCTTGGAGGGTTTGTTTCGAGACTCTTCATGGTTGGGGACTATGTGGTGGTGTACCACCAACCTGGAACTCGGCTCTTGGGGTATGTAGAAGCTGGGAACCATCTCCATCTCGAACTCTTCTTGCTAAGTTTGAACTTTTAAGGCTATAGTGGCTGCTATACCTTCTGCCAGTAAAACCGTCATAGCGTCGTCAAATCTTCATGGAATTTCATGATTCAACTTGCTACAGATAGGCAATTGCAACGTGCTCTAGATCCAAATTTTAGATCACCGTTTGAGTTAGCGAGCACATCGTTATCAATATTTGAAGCCGTTAGATGGAAATCCAACTATGCTCTCTATTTCTCATTATAGGCACATCTGAGCCTATTGTGATAATAACAAGTGGTATCAGAGCCCATTGGAGCCATTTCGACCATGCCTAGACCTGAGGAAGGGGGTGGCAGAGTTGCTGGAGGCAGAGAAGACGCCCAAGCACAAGGTCAACACCAAGTTCCACCCCTTGCTCCCGTGCAACCTAGCCTTGGCCCCTCTAGGGATGAGCCTAGAGTGTTTGGCCTTGACAAGTTCAACGGTGACAACTTTGCTGAGTGGTCTTTCAAAATGGAAAAAATCTTTGACCACTATGATCTGCTGGAGGTGATGGAAGGAACGGAGAAGCACCCCGAGAACGACCCGGAGAAGAGCCCGTGGGTGCGGAAGAGCGCACAAGGCTACCTTCTACTTGGGCAAGCGTTGGGGAGCAGCCAAATCCGTCACATCAAGCCTTTTCAGTGTGAACCAGCAAAGGGACCAAAGGCATAGGCTGCTCTCAAGGGTGTACACGCTCCTGCAACAGCGGCGGTGGCTGTGATTTTGGAGCAGCAAATGGCGGCACTTCGAATTGACGAAGGCGAACCGGTGGAGGAAGGAGTGCAGAAATTCTTCGACTTGTTGACAC